TATACACGTGAAAAGGAATGGAAGGAACTGAAATACTGATCAGGATTGCGTGTTCCGTTGATTAACTGCTCCATCAAAAGAGCTGCAGCCACTAACTTTTAATTCTAGGGAAGTTATTAAATGGCTCATTTTTTTTCACCCTCACTCCCAAGTGTGTCTCAAACCTGGTAAAACCTGGCAGTTGAAACAAAATATTAAAGCATAATTGTGCACAATTGTTTTGTGTTATAGAATCTGCTTATAGGTTTCCAATGAGTATAGTTAATGAAGCCCCAGTCATCTTTGACTTCTTGGCCATTAGAATTAGGTCTTGTTTTTTCCTCTTAGAGCAGTGATTATTTCCATATAAAACATTTTGGGAGGGGGCTTCCAAGCAAGTTACAAAACATGTCCCGCTAAATTATATGCTAAATTAATATGGTAATATTGTTGTGCAAAATAGCTTTCTATGGGAATTGTGTATGCATGTACAGATGGTCCTTGGCTTATGACCACAACTGACTACAACATTTCTGTTGCTAAGTGAGACATTTGTTAAGTGAGTTTCGCTCCACTTTATGATCTTTCTTGCCACAGTTGTTAAGTAAATTTATTCAGTTAGTAATACAGTTGTTAAGTGAATCTGGCTTCCCCATTGACTTTGCTTGTCAGGTCGCAAAAGGTGGTCACATGACCCTGGGACTCTGCAACGGTCATGAATGTGAATCAGTTGCCAAGTAGAATTTTGATCATGTGATAACAGGGATGCTACAACAGTCATTAAGTTACAAGTGCCGTTGTAACTTTGAACAGTCACTAAATGAATGGTTGTAAGCCGAGGACTACCTGTACACATATTATGAGGCAACCTGATATAATTTGCCACTTCCCTGCCAGTTCCAAGCTTGTCCTGGCTTGGAGTGAGAAAGAACGGGATTTTCATCTCTCATATTAAGTTGGAACAGGAATTAATTATTTGCAAAAACATCATGCCTCTTTTGTTAGAATAATATTAAACTGTGATGAGGCCATTAATATGACCTGACCAAGCTTAAGGCTCTGTTTTTCTCCAGAGATATGGTCTCAAATGGAGAAGACTCCTGCGAGTCCCTTGGACTGCAAGGCGTTCAAACCGGTCAGTCCTAGAGGAGATCAACCCCGACTGCTCTTTAGAAGGCCAGATCCTGAAGTTGAAACTCAAATACTTTGGCCACCTAACGAGAAGGAAGGACTCACTGGAGAAGGGCCTAATGCTTGGAAAGATTGAGGGCAATAGAAGAAGGGGACGACAGAGAATGAGATGGCTGGATGGAGTCACTGAAGCAGTAGGTGTGAACTTAAATGGACTCCAGAAAATGGTAGAGGACAGGAAGACCTGGAGGAACATTGTCCATGGGGTCGTGATGGGTCGGACACGACTTCGCAATTAACAACAACAACAACATGGTCTCAAAACGTACTTTAAAATAGAAAGTAGCTCAGGCAGAACCTGTTTTATGCACACCTCTACTTCAAAAGTACAGTTAACAGAAAAAAACCCCAGAGATTAACATATTGTACTTTTTTGCAAGATTCTTGTGATCAGCAAATAACAGAACTTACCAAAACATTCCAGAAGTTAATACACATTAACACACAAGGCCCATGTCCATCTTGTAAATGTTTTATTTATAACCCATTTAGTCAGTATTCAACAATTTCCCAACTTCTGAACAATTGGTTCTAAATATTTACATATTTATAGATTTATGTAGCTACCTTTCTCTATCCCAATTGATTGTCTTTCAACTGGAGGGCTATTCTATCTGAATTCCATCATTTTTCAAGTATCGATCATGCTGCTGCTGATGTGATAATAATGATTATTCAAGGTTTTTTGAACTGTTAGACTTTACATAGTTCTTGATTTAAAATTTGGGCTGTTAATTGTTACTTTTAATAAACCTCTTTGAATGGATATACCAGCCTCCTCGGTATCTTTGCAGTTTCTCACTAGGAAATCATGTCCTCATTTTATGAGAATTTTACTTCCAAACATGTATTAGCAACTTTGGATTGACTTTGAAAAGATGATACATAAATGTACTCATCCTTTTAGTTAAATAATATAATCAGATTTTGTATGGTGATCATTAATGATTTATCCAACAGATTAACTTCTGTTCAATTGAATTTTAATAGATAACTACTCAATTCCAGGCTATTATGTATTTATGCACTAGGCAAATTTAAATATTTTATAAATATTTTGAAACAATGACTTGTTGTTAATTGGCCTGATAGAGTATATACTGTTCTCATTTGCATGTCTCTTGCTAAATTCATTTAATGGTTAATCTTCTCCAATCCCATTATTCAGACCTAAAAAAAGTCCAAGCCACTTTTAATATGGGAATACTGATGGGAATATTAATATATATATATGAGAATTCAGATACAGTGTGTTGCATTCTGATCCCACTGATATCATATTCAATCTTATGTCCTCTTGAGGATTGTTTTCATTTTCATACAGTAGCTAATTAAATGCCAGCAATTGTGGAGAGATGTCAAAACAGTTAAATTGGCTCTATAAAAACTTATAGATCAGGGGAGTTGAACTGCCGCCCATGGGCTGGATGCGTCATGCAGAAGCTGCACCCACCCCAGCTCCGGCAAGGGGAAAAAAGTCGTGATACGTCATGGGATGAGGCGAGTTTGACACCCCTGTTATAGATGAAGTTTCTATGATGTACATTTGCTACTGGTTAGCATGAATTGGCTTCCATTTGGCCTTATAATTTGTCCTGTGACACACAAACATAATTAAAATTAAAATGAATAGACCACATTGAACCGTCATATTGTCAAAATTATTCTCCATGCATTATCATGGATTTTATCAGCAAATACTTTTAACCCTTTATTTATGTTATGCATTGTAAATTATTATAATTCAATTGCAGCATAAGATCTGCAAGTCATTCTAGCACAGATGTAATAGTAATAGTAGTAAAGTTGGAAGGGACCTTAGAGGTCATCTAGTCCAACCCCCTGCTCAGGCAGGAAACCCTACACCATTTCGGACAAATGGCTGTCCAGTCTCTTCTTAAAAACTTCCAGTGTTGGAGCATTTACTGCTTCTGGAGGCAGGCTGTTCCACTGATTAATTGTTCTCACTGTCAGGAAGTTTCTCCTTAGTTCTAGGTTGCTTCTCTCCTTGATTAGTTTCCACCCGTTGCTTCTTGTCCTGCCTTCAGGTGCTTTGGAAAATAGCTTAATTCCCTCTTCTTTATGGCAGCCCCTGAGATATTGGAATACTGCTATCATGTCCCCCCATGTCCTTCTCTTCGTTAAACTAGACATACCCAATTCTAGCAACCGTTCCTTATATGTTTTAGCCTCCAGTCCCCTAATCATCTTTGTTGCTCTTCTCTGTACTCTTTCTAGAGTCTCAACATCTTTTTTACATCGTGGTTACCAAAACTGGATGCAGTATTCCAAGTGTGGCCTTACCAAGGCATTGTAGAGTGGTATTAATACTTCACGTGATCTTGATTCTATCCCTCTGTTAATGCAGCCTAGCACTGTGTTGGCCTTTTTGGCAGCTGCAGCACACTGCTGGCTCATATTTAGGTGATTGTCTACTAGGACTCCGAGGTCCCTCTCACAGTTACTACTATTGAGCATGGTGCCACCTATGCTGTACTTGTGCATTTGGTTTTTCTTGCCTAAATGTAGAACCTTGCTTTTTTCACCATTGAATTTCATTTTGTTAGTTAGTGCCCAGTGTTCAAGTCTGTCCAGATCCTTCTGTATCTTAAGCCTGTCTTCTGGAGTGTTGGCTATTCCTGCCAGCTTGGTGTCGTCTGCAAATTTGATGAGTTCCCCATCTATCCCTTCATCCAAATCGTTGATGAAGATGTTGAAGAGTACTGGGCCCAGAACAGAGCCCTGGGGCACCCCACTACACACTTCCCTCCATATAGATGCAGTTCCATTGAGGACCACTCGCTGAGTACAGCCAGTCAGCCAGCTACGGATCCATCTGGTGGTGATTCTGTCTACTCCACATTTTTCTATCTTATCAAGTAGTAGGTTGTGATCTACTTTATCAAATGCCTTACTGAAGTCCAAGTAAATTATGTCCACAGCATTCCTCTGATCCACTAATTTTGTCACTTGGTCAAAGAATGCAATAAGATTTGTCTGGCATGATCTATTTTTGACAAACCCATGTTGGCTTTTAGTAATGACTTTGTTTGCCTCTAGGTGTTCGTTGATTCGTTGTTTGATTATCTTTTCCAGGATCTTCCCAGGTATTGAGGTCAGGCTGATAGGTCTGTAATTTCCTGGATCCATTTTTTTTCCTTTTTTGAGGATGGGAACTACATCAGCTCTTTTCCAGTCCTCTGGTAGTTCCCCTGTGTTCCAGGATCTTTGAAAAATATAGTTCAGTGGCTCCGATATCACATCTGCCAGTTCCTTGAGAACTCTGGGGTGTAATCCATCTGGTCCTGGCGATTTGAACTCATCTAGGCTGGACAGGTGCTCACTAACCATTTTCTTGCCTATCTTAACTTGTGTTTCTGTTTTGTTTTTTATGGCACTATTTTTGATAGGTTGGTCTGTTTTTTCCCTTTGTGTAAAGACAGATGCAAAAAATGAGTTAAATAGTTCTGCTTTCTCCCTGTTGCTTGTCACCTTCTTGCCACTTCCACCCACTAATGGACCAATCATTTCCTTCACTTTTTTCTTGTTTTTTACATGTTGAAAGAAGCTTTTTTTGTTATTTTTGACTTTGGTCGCAAGTCTTAGTTCATTTTGAGCCTTGGCTTTCTTCACTTCATCTTTGCAGGCTCGGGCTATTTGCTGATATTCTGACTTAGTTATGTTCCCCTCTTTCCACTTTCTATATTTGTCCTTTTTATCTTTCAATTTGTCAGAGAGTTCTTTATGCAGCCATGCTGGTTTCTTTTGAGAGCTGTTGTTTTTCCTCTTTTCATATTGATGTACAACAGAAGAACTTGTTCACAGTAACATTGTGTGTTTCAAATATTTATTGGCACATGCTAGCTAAAATCCAAATTCAGAAATAAAGTCAAATATGCAGTTAAAAACATATTCAGTGCTATTTTTCCATACAAGATGACTTTAACAAAAAAATAAAGAATAAAATACATAGTTTTAAACAAACCAATGTATGGATAGTTAATAAATAAAAATATTTATATAGAAGAATGTTTATTAAACCCTGTAATGCGTCTGGATTTTCCTCCCAGATGCACTATTTATTTATTAAATTTTTATGCCATCTTCTTTGTAAGGTGATTATCAGCAACTAAACATTCTTCTAGATGTGATGGTAGCAACTGGCAATTATTCCAGCTGAGATTTCACAAATTTATCAAGATTGTTGCACAATGTCCATAGGTATTCTTGTTTGAGTTGAACTATTTTCCATTTAAGTCATAATCATTTGTTTTAAACCATGCATAGCCTTTGGTCCTACACATACTTAATTTGTCACCTGGGTTACAATAGTTTATTCCACTGACACTAACACCTGTGCATGTGGATATGTGAGAAAAAATGTTTCTGATTTATTATTTAGTGACAGCTTCTACTGCTGAAGCACACAATCAGGAAGAGCTTGGTAGCACTTTTTCTGACAAATAAATTTTATTAAAGGGCATAAGCTCTCATGAATTGCAGCTCACTTCATCAAATGCACAGAGAGGCTAAACTGATACAGGATTTAAATTGGGGTGAGGCCAAAGGAGGGAAGAGAGGGGAAGACAGGTTAACTATGCAGATAGAGGATACATGTAAGACAGATTACAAGTTCCTTATTGATTAACAACTGCAAAACATAATTCAACTTCCCAAACCTATACCTTTTAATAAAATTTGTGAAGTGGAAAATGTAGTACCAAAACCCTTCTGATTTTTGGATTATCTTAGCTCTCATCCCATGCTGTGAAGTATGACAGGGTTGTTTCTTTTCCTTTACACAACTGTTATACTACGACTCCTACCATGCCCAGATTCCAAGGTTAGCCAAGCTGAGGCTTATAAAAAATCTAGATTTTAAAAATCTACATTGGAGACATTGCATATCTCTATCATATCTGCTGTCTGGGCTAGGAGGTTTACCAAGTTTCATACGTCCCTAGGCATAACCAGAAAGCTGCAGTTTCTTTCCTAGTCTAGCTCCCAGGATCATGTTTGCATATGTGTATGTGCAGCTCCGTAAAAAAACAACAACAATAATGCTTGGGAAAGGCAGTAACATGAACTTACTTCAGGCAGTCCATGTCGTTTCCATGGCACAGTATGGAAATGATGGGCTACCACTTTCTTTTAGATACATTCCCCCAGAGGTCTTTCATCAAAGCACTAAGAGGGCCTTACCCTACTTAGCTACCTAACTCAGGACCTGCCAAATGCTTAGACACGAAAGAGTGGGCAAATTAAAATTAGTCGCCTTCTCAAATAGTAATCAGTGTGAATTCTCCTTCTCTAAAATGGCTACATAATCTTTATGTATCCTGACTGCTACACACACATTCACCCACATTTTCATTTTACTATTTCCTCAGGCAGTGGTAGTAGCATTTCTGGAGTTAAAGCCACGATTTCTGAGAAGTTTGAGCCTGACTATGCTGCTAGCATTTTCTTCTTCTGCTGCTGCTGCTAGGGCTTGAATGAGGAACGGAGCGGCCCAAATTTCTGGAAGAAATCCTCCTCTGCACGGACCAGAGCTTCTTCATCAATGTAGATGGCTGCTCTTCTGGAGGCTACAAAGTATTGCACTTTTCTCAAATTCCATCCCAGCACGTATTTTAACCAGCCGCAAATGGCAGCAGTGGACCTACCAACACCTGCGTTGCAGTGAACATAGACAGTGTGCCCATTCTCCAGCAGCCCATGCAGGAGATAGACAGCCTGAGGCAGCATCTGGACTCTTCCTAGGATTAGAAACAAGATCACTGTCAAAGGCATGCTTTCCCTCAACTCTCTCTTAGATCATCCACTACCACCCCAGTTGGTCTCATGTTACTTGCAAAACTTCCTATTTCCTACTAGGCCAGTGGTTCTCAACCTGTGGGTCGGGACCCCATTTGGGGTCGAATGACCATTTCACGGGGGTCGCCAAACCACGCTGTCCGCCATTTTTTTCCCTTTTCCCTAGCTGTCCTACTCCCTCTTATTGGTGACCACACCCACTTGGGGATCACCACAACATGGGGAACTATATTATGGGGTCACGGCATTAGAAAGGTTGAGAACCACTGTACTAGGCAAATACATTTTTCTTTTTCTTTTTCTGAGTAGTAGGGCATTTCAAACAACACAGTGGGGCCTCCAACTTCAGACCATCTTTATTTTCTGCGAATCCCTCCTAAACCAAACAGAGAAGGATTGTGAGCAGCAAGACTATGCAACAGGTCTGATTCCATTCCAGAAGGCATGTTTTGAAGCACAATGGAGTACAAATGTAGCATTGGAATCTAGAAAACCTTTATGGACTTTTTTCATAAAAATATAGAAAAGTGAACTTGTGATTTATGGTTATGATGATTAGACCGGATATATTATAGAAAGAAGAGAGTCACAATATAACTTGAGAGAGAGAGAGAGAGAGAGAGAGAGAGAGAGAGAAGGAGAGAGAGAGAGAGAATAGAATTAGAACTGCTGTGAAGAATATCAGAAGCTACTTTCTTATATCATTATATCCTTCTCTCTTTTTTCCATTTTCTTCTATTTTCTTTTCTTATTGCATTTTTAGTTTTTTCTGGTTTTTTTCATTTTTTCTGTTCTAATTTTATTTGTATTAGCTCTTATTATTGCTCTCAAACTTTTGATATGTGTGTCTCTGTGTGTGTGTGCTTAAAAAGAATCACAAGTGTGGCACTTACTTACAACTCTTTAAAGCAGCCATGTCATTTCCTAGGTTCACATGCCTGTCTTCTGAATCTGCTTTGCGATCCCAGGAAAAGATGTAGTGGCTTTCATGTGTTATAAATAGATGCTACATTTGTGTTCCTTTGCACCCTGGAGCATCTTTTTGGAGATAAATCTGAAGTACTGCATTGCCTTATTGAAACATAAATAAGTGACAACCATTTCAAACTATCTGAAATAATGTATCTGTCTCCCTCATGCATTATCAGCAGAGTATTTCATAAGCATAAATAAAAAAAAAGTGAGGGACCTCACCATGCCAATAATAGTATCAATGGCTGGGAAACTCTGGGAGTTGAAGTCCATGCATCTTAAAGTTGCCAGATTAGAAAACTTTCATTTAAATAATGTTCTGCGCTCTTAAACATTTCCACCAACTTTTTAAAAGAGTTGTGTTTTTATTTAAGTGAAATGAGAAAATTGTAATTTCATTTTGTTTCAATCATTTCTGATACTCCATTGGCACAATTATTTGAATGTCTCTTCCTAATCACCCACGAGCTGCCCCATTAAGTCCTTATTATGATTTCAGGGATAAAAGTGGGTTTTTTTGTTTTGTTTGCTTTGATTCTTGAATGAATAGTGAGAACCAGATCCAGTCAAATAATCTAGTTTCATGATTATTTACCAGCTAGGGTGACTTTAAAAACATTGCATGTTGGAGCCAAACAGCTAAGAGTGGCCTCATTACTTTACTTCTGTTAGCAATTGTTATCCACTATTATCAAGGATTGGCCACATAGAGGACTTTAGCAGCCTTCCAACTGTCCCTCTCATGCTTTGCCTTGCCTACAGAATAAAAAATATAGACAGAATTGTCCTACACACAGGTTAGAAACAGTCTATGCTAGTTTAAAACAGTGCTGCACACTGTGGCTCATATTTAATTGATTGTCTACTAAGGCTCCAAGATCCTTGTCACAGTTACTGCTATTAAGCCTGGTTTCATCCAATCTATATTTGTACTTTTGGGTTTTCTTGCCTAAGTATAAGACTTTACTTTTCTCTACATCGAATTTCATTTTGTTAGATAGGGTACAGTGTTCAAGTCTGTCAAGATTCATCTGGATCTTGAGCCTATCCTCTAGGGTGTTGGCTATTCCTGCCAGCTTAGTATCATCTGCAAATTTGGTAAGTTCCCCTTCTATTCCCTCATCTAAGTTGTTTATGAAAATGTTGAAGAGTACTAGGCCTAAGACAGAACCTTATGGTACCCCACTGCTTACTTCCCTCCACATAGACGTAGTGTTATTAAGGACTACTTGTTGAGTATGGTTTGTCAGCCAGTTACAAATCCATCTGATGGAAATGCTACCTATCCCACTTTTTTCTAGCTTTCCAAGAAGTAGGTTGTGATCTACTTTGTCAAATGCCTTGGTGAAGTCTAAGTATACTAATGTCTACAGCAGACATGTTAAGCACAAGGCCCGGGGGCCGGATGTGGCCCGCGAAGTGGTTTCATGTGGCCCGCGAAGCCATCCTGGAAACAGTGAGGGAATGGCCCCCTCTGCCTTGGCCCTGGCCCAGGCCAGCCGGGAGCCAATGTACAATTTTGTGGTGGACATCTATGCTGAAACACATTCAGTCTTAGCTCCACAAGGCCGTCTAGAAACAGCGAGGAACCAGCCCCTGCCATGTCGGCCCCACCCCCTGGGTGCATGCTGGGGAAGTGTCACCCTTTGTGAGGAATGAAGAAATGGACCATGCCTTGGTGCTTGCCCCAGTTCCACCCCCTTCTGCCAGAGACCCTCAGATCTGTCCCACTCCTGCCCAGGCCCCCACAGGCACCCTTGACGCGAACGATGTAGAGCTGGCCATGCCCACCCAGTAGGCCACACCCACTCCATCCATGCCCACCCCAGTAGGCTGCACCCACCCTGGCCACACCCACCCAGCCCCCCAAGGGCAATCGCAATGCTGATACGGCCCTCAATGAAATTGAGTTTGACACCTCTGGTCTACAGCATTTTGCTGGTCTACAAATTTAGTCATCTGATCGAAGAATGAAATAAGATTGGTTTGGCATGATCTGTTTTTAACAAACCCATGCTGGCTTCTAGTTATAACTTTGTTTGTTTCTAGAAGTTCGCAAATCTGTTTTTTGATTATCTTTTCCAGTATCTTCCAGGTATTGATGTTAGGCTGATTGCTCTGTAGTTTCCTAGGTCTGTTTTTTCTCCCCTTTTTTGAAGATGGGACTAGAACTCACAGCCTCCTGGTTTCGAGCCTTGTGCTTAGTACTATACCAAAGATATCTATATAAAATTTGTAATAAAAAGGTTGGCAGTTTCTTTGGGAAACAATTTGATACATGGATTAAAATATGAATGCATTTAAATTCCTTTTAGCCATCCTAAAGTTTGAAACAGAACTAGATACTTTTTTACTGTTTGACTATTCTGCTTTCTAGCCGATAATATGTTGTGAACGAAACAAAGCAAAAGTGAATGACTTCTAGATGGAAGAGGTTAGAGTGATGAGCTGGGTGAAGGTATTCCTATATACGATAACTTTTACCTTAAGAGAAGAGGCAAGATATAAATGTAATTAAATAAATGTATAAAGCACACCTACACAGATAGATATTTTTGCATGCACATAGTCTTCTTATTTCTTACAAAATGGATAAAAATAAAATAAAAGTAAAAATAATACTAATGCTAAATAATTCCAACCATTCCCAAGTGTTTGTTTATTTTGTAGCAAACAAAATCTGGTAAACTCACACGATTCGTTTTTCTCGCCATGCATATGTACACATAATCTGAATTAGACTGCGTTGTTTCTCTATATATATATTTTCTGAGGATTTCGCGGGTGTTTGTATGTAGGTCTTTGGTTGTTCGGGTTTTCTCCCGCGTAAAATTGGAAGTGTCTTGGCGACGTTTCGACGAAGTCCCATTCGTCATCTTCAGGCTGGTGTTTTCAGCTTCGTGCTTCGAGGAGCAATGCTTCAGGCTGGTGTTTTCAGCTTCGAAGCACGAAGCTGAAAACACCAGCCTGAAGATGACGAATGGGACTTCGTCGAAACGTCGCCAAGACACTTCCAATTTTACGCGGGAGAAAACCCAAACCACCAAAGACCTACATACATACATACATACATACATACATACATACATACATACATATATATATATATATATATATATCATATTTATGTAGTGTATATCGAGGTGGTGACCCTCCCTCAAGAGCGGTATGCAATGAAATTTCATTTTAACGTATGCTGATTAGTGTACATTCAGAGTGACAATAAACTTATTATTCTATTCTTCCTCTAATTTGACAAAAGTGATATGACCACTCCAGCATTTTCAAAAGATAATTCTACTTGCAAATATATGCTGATTAGATATATTATATATATATATATATATATATATATATATATGTGAAATAAAAATTTTGTTAATGTATTAACACATTAATTCATTATCAAAACTCTGCACAGAGAATACTTTCCTCCCGTTCAATTATAAATTAGACACTCTGAGTGCTTAGTGCAAATCCTAAAATGCTAAATTAACCATGATCAACTCCTACATTATCTTCCATATAATAGAGGAAGGTGAGAAAATTGTGCAATTTGTTTTAAATAATGTATATTTAAATAATGATACTTGTGGTTGAAGTTATTATTTTGTATTAAAAAATGTCTGATGTACATATCAAATGCTTTTCAACAAATGTGAATTCTATTTTCCCCATTTCAAATGATACACTAAATGCACTTTCTTACTTCATATCAAATTCTGTGGCATAATTAATGCTCACATCATTATTACAACAGTTGAATCTACAAAAGCTATTAAATATTCATAGGCTTCATAGTCTTTTGCATTGTATAATACTATTGTCATACTATTTAATGGTATGTGGGGCTGAACTTGGGAGACAGGGAGAAGGGCTGCAGCCAAGGCAATACATGGATAAGAGGCAGCTTAGCCTCCAGCAGGAATGTAAGCATGGCATATGCCTCAGAAGGGATCCTCCCTAGATT